CATCCTGGAGACGATTGGGGCCTCTCTGAGTGCTCTACCTTGGGCGGTCTCTGGGCCATCGTGAGGTGCCAGACTCCCATCAGAAGCGAGGGCGAGAAGCCCAGCATCCTTGGACCCCCCGTGGCTTCTAAAGGGCTTCTGGCGTCTTGGAGACATCGCCGGGAGGCCCCGTGATCGCGTCGGGCCGTCCCGGGGACACCCCGAGACCATCGCGCGCCCCCTTCTCTCCGGACCCAGGGGACGAGCAGAGCTTCAGGATCCGGCCTGAATGAGGAACACTTCTCCGGATTCCATAACAAAGTGGGGAGGGTCAGATTCGGGGGGGGTCTAATTTGAGCTGTCTTGGAAGGCTCGGGGGGGTCTAGGCAAAGGGCCGCCCTTTCATGGATGGTCTGGGGGGGTCTAAAACTTCTCGTCTGGGAGGGTTGTGACCCCCTCCCTTTTATTACGAAATCTGGAGTATGCTTCAAGAGAGGCCCCGGCCGCTCCTCTTTGGTTTGCAGGCGTGCCGCCTGCCTCGCTGGGCGGCGAGCTCCCCTGGCGTTCCCTCGGATTCCGGGCGCGCGGGCCCGTCCCCGCGGACCTCGCAGACCTGCTTGGGGGACACAAGGGGGCTGCGCTCCTCCTCGACCGCTCCTGGAGGTCCGGCCGAGGCTGCACGCCCCCTCCACGAAGGGGAAAGAGAAGGTAAAACAGGGCTAGGATCGGGATAAATCGCTCCAGAGCGTTCCAGAGCGCTCTCAGAGCGTTCCGGAACGCTCTGGAGCGGCCGCGGCGCCCAATACATCCTCCAAACCCGCCGATTCTCAGAGATTTCGAGGTACCCCGATCCGATGTTGTCCCTATCTTCGCGTCGTTTTAGAAGGATTTTTTTTTCTGGGAGGGTCGGGCCCCTCGGGCATCTGCTTCCCCCCCCCCCGCGGGCACTCCGTCGCCGCGGCGGGGCCCGCCTTGCCCGCGGGCCCGCTCTCCGAGGGCACGGCCCCACGAGCTCACGGCTGCCTCAACGCGCCCGCGCTGGCACGCCACGCGCACCGTGTGCAGAGCGTCCGTGGTCGGTGCGCTGCGTGTTGGCTCAGCGTGTTTCGGAGGAGGGAGCACGCCGTAAACATCAAAACTGTTGGCGCTCCGCGCGGATTTCTTGGGCCCGCGCTGGGGCGGGGCCCCCCATGGCGGCGCCTCCGGCGCCGCCCCTGGCGCGCCTCGCGCGCCAGGGAAGAGGGTCCAGCGTAGATCCAGGGAATCCGCGGGGAGCGCCAACAATTTTTATGTTCATGCCCTTTTCTCTTCTTCTCGTACTGGCCCACATGTAGTTGGCGAGCGTATCGAGCCTGCCCTACGTTTTCAGTCTACGTGTGGAGCTCCGTGTCACTGCGCGACGTGTTGCGTGTTGCGCATCGGAGCAGCTGAGCCGAGATGGGGTCGGAGCAGACGTCGCCGCGCGTCTGTTCCGTGCGTGCCGGGGCGGCTAAGCCCGCCTGGTCATCCGCGCGTTCTCCCCAAAAGCTCCGGCGGCGCGCAGCAGGGGCAGGGCGGAGAGGGGGGGTGGGCTTTCCGAGGGAGCGCGGAGGGAGGGGTCTCAGAAGGCGGGGTTGCGGGCACGATCTTTATCCACATCCACCGCGTCTTGGAGTTCCGGGCTCCCAACCTCTGATGCCAGAGGCGCCGTGGATGTGGGTATGAAACAGTTTCGCCCCTAGAGGTCAGATTTGTATCCATATCCACGGCGCCGCGGCCTCTTGGCGCCCCTTCCCAGAAAGGCCGAGACGCAGTGGATAGGGATATGAATCGTGCCCGCAGGGGGGGCCACGCTGTGCCCTGCACTCGCGGGCTCCTGCTTGCCCTGTCCAGTCTCTGGAGGAGGAGGAGGAGGAGGAGGAGGAGGAGGAAAAGGAGGAGGAGGAGGAGGGGGACGAGGAGGAGGAGGAGGAGGGGGAGGAGGAGGATGAGGAGGAGGGGGACGAGGAGTCGGAGGAGGGGGAGGAGGAGAGGAGGAGGAGGAGGAGGAGGAGGAGGAGGAGAGGAGAATGAGGAGGAGGAGGAGGAGGGGGAGTCGCTCAAGTGCCGGCCCGCGGGCGCCTCGTGGCGGCCTCGCGCGCCGGGGGGGGTCCAGGTTCTGTGGCCTCGCGCTCGCCCGCGTGTGCGCCTCCTGGGCGCGCTGCGTGCTGGGTGGTAATGGAGGATGACGATTAATAAATGACCGGGGGTCGTGTTCACGCGGCGGCGCCTGGGATGACGATTAGAAAGAACCAGCCGCGGGCTGGAACACTATTCTTTTTAATCGTTCTCCTCCAGTCCGAAAATTATGCAGAAATAGCAAGGAACTATTTTTGTTAATCGTTCCCCTCCATTTTTTATTAATCGTCATCCCGCATTGCAGTGGAGACCCACGCCAAATAACACCCTGCTTGCCTCATGGCATCAGAACAGTTGCAAGCATCCCACGGTGATTCCATCAGACGTCACATGCGTCACGGCGTCACGCCGGCCCCGCCAGGTTCGAAGCGCCACCGTGACATCCGAAGTGATGGAGCAGATGATATACACAGAGTAGTACAGTGGGGGCCCCTGCCAGGAGACGCCCTGCTCGCCTCCAGAGTGCCCTGGCCTTCTCGGGCTTCGAGGGTTTTGCTATGGGGAGCGTGGCGCTCCCACACCAGACATCCGCGGACGTCCTGGCGTGTCCGGGTGGGGTTCCTCGTGGACGGCTTCTTGTGGTCGGGCCCCCAATGCAGGTCCGCACGGCGCCGGCCCGCGCGCGGGCCCCTCGTGGGCGCCAGGTGCTTGCCGGATGCCTTGCTCCGAGTGCCCAGAGGTCCGACGCTCCAACAGAAATCGGGGCGGCGGGATTTGGGCCGCTGTCGGCCTCGGGGGCCCTCTTATGGGCCTCGGGACCGTTAAGGAGCGACTCAGGACGACAAAGCAGCCCGATATATATATATATATATATATATATATATATATATATATACACACACACACACACACACACACACACACACACACACACACACACACCACACACATATAACGGCGCACCGGGTCCGGGGGCCCGGGGCCGGGACCCCGACCACAAATGTGGGCCCCGGGGGGCCCGGAGGCTCGTCGGACCGCCGGACGCCGTCCAAGATCGTTCGCAGGCGGCTTCGGAACGCGCTCCGATGGCTCCAGATGCCTTCCAAGACGCCTGTCATGACACCAAGAAGGTCCCAGAAGCCTCCAAGACGCTCCGAGAGGCAGCCCAAGAGAGGCCCAAGAAGCAAAAATCGTGCAATTCCTATGGGAAAACGTATATTTTTCGCATGTTCGCCTCTTGGGCTTTCACCGCGTCCAAGACGGCCCAAGAGGCGCCCAAGACGGTCTACGAGGCCTCCGGGAGCGCTCCAAGGCTGCGCACGAGTGGCCCAGGACGGCCCCAAGACGGCCGAAGAGAGCCCCAAGACGAGTTCGAGAGGGGTCCCAGACGGAGAAAGCCAACCTCGAATTCCGAGCTTCCGGCCCAAGAGGCTCCAGGAGGCGCCAAAATGCCGCCAAGAGGCGCCAAAAGGCTCCCAAAAGCACCCCAAGACGTTCCGAGAGGCACCCCAAGAGAGGTCCAAGAAACAAAAATCGTGCCATTTCCATGGGAAAACGTATATTTTTCGCATGTTCGCATCTTGGGCTTTCACCGCGTCAAAGACGGCCCAAGAGGCCTCCAAGACGGCCTAGGAGGCCTCCGGGAGCGCTCCAAGGCTGCGCACGAGTGGCTCAGGACGGCCCCAAGACGGCCCAAGAGAACCCCAAGGCGACTTCGAGAGGGGTCCCAGAAGGAGAAAGCCACTCTCGAATTCCGAGCTTCCGGCCCAACATATCCCAGGAGGCGCCAAAACGCCGCCCAGAGGCGCCAAAAGGCTTCCAAAATCAGCCCAAGACGTTCCGAGAGGCACCCCAAGAGAGGTCCAAGAAACAAAAATCGTGCCATTCCATGGGAAAACGTATATTTTTCGCATGTTCGCATCTTGGGCTTTCACCGCGTCCAAGACGGCCCAAGAGGCCTCCAAGACCGCCCCAAGACGGCCCAAGAAGCTTCCAAGAGGGCCCCAGGACAGCCCAAGAGGGCCCCAAGACGGCCCAAGAGGCGCCCAAGATGGCCCAAGAGGGCCCCAAGACGGGCCCAAGAGGGGGCCCAGAGGGGGACCACGAACCGCAAGCTCGAGCCTTCCGCCCCAAGAGGCCGCCAGGAGGCCCCAAGGAGGCCCCTCAAGAGGCCCCAGGAGACCCCCAAGAGGCCCAAAGGAGGCCCCGAGAAGCCCCAAATCGGCCCCCAAAATGCTTCGAACCTGCTTCCAGGAGGCCCCCGACAGGTTCAGAGGCTCCCGAGAAGCTACGTCAAACTCCCAGCGAGCGGCCGGACGAGGCCCCCCACAAAATCACAAGAGTGTTCCAGTATTTGTATCCTTCAGCGCTCTCTGGCCTTCTTCCCCTTGCCCCCTTCCCTGCGACTTTCGTTGACTCAAGCTCGCCTCCTAGCTAGAACCGAAGCGCGCGCGAAGCGCGCGCGTGGTTCTAGTATATATATATATACATACATACATATATATAATATATAATATCATATAATATAATATATATACATATATATAGAGAGAGAGAGAGAGAGAGAGAGAGAGAGAGAGAAAAAAAAAGTGAACTTCCAGGGCCCATGCATCGGAAAAATTGGAGCGGCCGGATGTCTGGGTAGCTTGCGCCACATGGTCTGGAGCACGTAACGTGTGCCACGCAGCTTCAACTGGCAGCGTGCGCCCCAGGGCTGGCACCACATAGCCTGCACCGCATATCCTGCACCACAGAGCCTGCACCACACATCTGACACGTCCAGACTGCAGAGACGCACCTTTTGGGGTCCACACTGGCAGTTTGTTCAGAGGGGCTTTGAGGCAATTTGTTCAAAAGGGGCGTCCTTTCAAGGCTTCCTGGAGTGCAGTGGCCCCTGCAGGCGGAGCTGGCTCTCAAAAAGCGACCTCTCCTCGCCCTGCCCCCATTCGTTGCTGCGACGCCAGCTGCTGACACGCAGGTTCTAAGCAACCCGCCGCAGCAGGCCTGCAGCTCATAGTGAATCCCGCTCCTCCTCCTTCTCCTCCTCCTCCTCCTCTTCCTCCTCCTCCTCCTCCCTCCTCCTCCTCCCCTCCTCCTTCCTCCTCCTCCTCCTCCCCCCCTCCTCCTCCCCCTCCTACCTCCTCCTCCTCCTCCTCCTCCTCCCCCCCTCCTCCTCCTCCTCCTCCCCCTCCTCCTCCTCCTCCTCCTCCTCCTCCTCCCCTCGCCTTTTTGCCACGCTGAAGAGCAGCGTGGCCTGCCGCCTGCAGGCATAATCCGCGGCGGTGGCCGCCGGCGCGCGGGCAGATCACGAGCATTGCCCCGCCAGATCACCTGCACACTCGCTCAGGCGTTGGCGGGCGCCGCCGCCTGGGGGCACGCCGGCGGGGGGGGGGGCCGCCCTCCAAGAGGGCGCGTGGCCTCTCGGGCGAGCCCAGCCCCCTGCTCTTAGGTCGGGCGCGTCCCCCTACTGGCGGATTTTGGAGGAAAAGTTACACATGTTTCAAAATATTACAAAACTGCCCCCTCCCCCCCCCAAAAAAAAACATCCCAGAACAATCGTCCCCATGCTATGTTTTGACTGCTTTTGAATGTTCCTCCTGTAGAGGGACAGGCCCGACTGAACCCTTCTCTGAAGGGCGGCAGGCAGATGTTCTGGAAGCGTCGCGGAGCCCCACCAGCCCACCCATAAACGACGACTTGGCGGGTTGCCCTGATCAGGGATGTGAAGGAGCCCGCAGCGGAATCAGGGGCGGGGGAAGCCGTCATGCCCGAAGGAGGGGAGGATGGAGGAGGAATTGGAGGAGGAGGAGGAGGAGGTGGAGGAGGAGGAATAGACGGATGAAGAAGAAGAGGAGGAGGAGGGGAAGGGCAGGAGGATGAGCAGAAAGGCCAGAGGCCTCTTGGATGCCTCCCAGAGTCTCTTCGGATGTCTCTTGTGAGCTGCTTGGAGTCCTCCTGGGGCGTCTTGGGGACCTCTTGGCGGTCCCAGAGGCCTCCGCGAGAGTCTTGAGTGCCTCGGGGGGGCCTCTTGAGGGTCTCTTGGGAGCCTCTGGAGACCCCCTAGGGGCCCTCTTGGGGCACTCTTGGGGCCCTCTGGGGCACTCTTGCGAGCCTTGGGGGCATCTTTGGGCCATCTTGGAGGAGATCGGTCAACGAAGGAGGGTCACCAACTGGGCCCACCCCCCTCTGAAGCTCCTAAGCTCGCCTCTTGGACCCCGCTTGGAGCGCTCTTGGGGGACTCTTGGGGCCGTCTTGGGACCCACTTGGGCGGCTCTCGGAGCTCCCTTGGACCTTCTTGGAGCCACCGCCGGGGCCTCGGAGGAGTATCGTACGCGAGAGGGCGACAAAAACACTGTTCTCCCGAGGTGTTGGAAGGACTGGCCTCGTTGTGGCTCTCTTGAGGGTGCTCCGTGGCTACTGGGAGCCTTCTTGGGGCGTTCTTCGGACCTCTCGGAGCAGGTTGGAGGTCATCCTGCGCGATCTCGAGCCATCTTGGAAGCCATCTTGGGCTCCCTGAGGCCCGCTTCGATCCATCCTGGCCCATCTTGGACGCTCCAATCGGTCGCGACCCCCCTCCCCCACCTCCAGACCTAGGGGTAGGGGGTAGGGGGAGGGGTGACCCCCTCCCCGAAGTAGAAGAAGGAAGTTGGAAGAGGAAGCGCCCTAAACCATTCACGCCCAGAGGGCTGGTGAGATCCTTGCGAGGCAGGGTTGTTTCCACGATGAGGGGGATGTGCTCAACACGTCGCCCCCGAGTCTCTAGAACCCTTCCCCGCCCCTCCAGGGGATTCGTTTTCATCCTGGATGGTGTTTTGATTGTCCTGGGGGCCGACAGTGGCCCCCAGACAACGAACAGTGCGAACGGGAAATCCGCTTTGATTGTCGTGTCACGACGTTGGACGTCTGGGTCTGAGAAAGTTAACTCCCCTCGCAGTGCCCTACTTTGGCGCGACGCCAACGTATATGGAGCTCCAGCTAAGCCTGTAGCTCAAGTGCGTATTCTCAGTCCCCTTCGCCTCCTCCCGCAGGATCCGACGTGACGCGAAGGACCTCGACGTCGCGAAAAAGACGCGATGCCGTCGACCTGATGTGTATTCTCGACCCCATCTCCATGCTCTCCCTCTCTCGCGCCAGATCGACCTGTGGAGATCCTCAGGGGCACGGAGCGGAACGAACACGTGCTCGTTCTTGCTCACGACGCTCGGAGCCCCAGAGGTCCGATGGATACAGTATGTGCCGACACGGGGTCCCCGACGCCTCGTCGTTTGCCGCTCGGCAGGCTGCATCCTGGGCCCGCCGAGCGCCCCCCCCCCCCAACGCCGAATACGGCGAGAGCAGCCCGTGATGGTTGTTCGCTTCGCGGTCTCAAGGCTTCGGCCTGGTGGACCTCAAAGTCCTTGCCTCCCTCTGGGTGGTGCCCGGGCCACCTGTCAGGTGTTCGATCGCTGGCCAGACGCAAGTATCAGGGTGTCGCGCAGAATGCCGCCAAGGACAGCCGAAGACCGCCAGACACCACCGAAGACCGCCGAAAACCGCCGACGGCGCATGGGTAACGAGGGTCGTTGGCCACATGTGAACCCCGCCCCCGCCCCCCACGATTTCTGGGGGGGGTGGGGCTTCGCTTCGTTCGGGAGCTCCCGAGCGGAGTGAAGCGGAGGAGGAGCAGGAGGCGGAGGAGGAGGAGGGAGGAGGAGGAGGAGGAGGAGGAGGGGGAGGGGAGGGGAGGGGAGGGGGAGGAGGCGAGGAGGAGGTGAGGAGGAGGAGGAGGAGGAGGAGGGAGGAGGAGGAGGAGGAGAGGAGGAGGAGGGAGGAGGAGGAGGAGGGGAGGAGGAGGGGAGGAGAGGAGCAGGAGCAGGAGGAGGAGGAGGAGGAGGAGGAGGAGGAGGAGGAGGAGGAGGAGGAGGAGGGGAGGAGGGGAGAGGAGGAGGAGGAGGAGGAGGAGGAGGAGGAGGAGGAGGAGGAGGAGGGAGGAGGAGGGAGGAGGAGGAGGAGGAGGAGGAGGAGGGGAGGAGGAGGAGGAGGAGGGAGGAGGGGGAGGAGGGGGAGGAGGAGGAGGAGGAGGAGGAGGAGGAGGGGGGAGGAGGAGGGTTCACACGTGGCCACCTGAAGGGGTCCATGGTCAAGCACGCGGCATGCGCCGAGCTTCGGGCGGCTCTCTGCGCTGCGGGCCTCCCCCCCGCCCCCCCCCGTGGGCGCCCGAGATCATCGGAGGCCAAGCAGCAACACAGAATATCTGATTACCGGAGGCTTCCCGTCGTCGTTCTCGTCCTCGTCGTCGTCGTCGTCCTCGTTCTTGTCGTCGTAGTCGTCCTCGTAGACGTCGTCCTCGTCCTCGTCGTCGTCGTCGTCCTCGTCGTCGTGCTCCTTCTTATCCCCATCGCGCCCGCTGATTGCAGTCGTCTGCAGCTTCTCGGCCCTAAGCTTGCGGCGCTCGCCCCCCTCCCCGCCCCGCCGCGCGCGCGGCCGAGGCGCCGAGGGGCCCGCGCCCGCCACCGCCGCGCAGGTCTCTTCGACTTCTACGTGGCGGTGTTCTTCCTCTTGGGCTACACGCGGGACGCCGCCAAAGGCGGTTGTCCCGGCGCTTCCTGCGCGCTCGGACTGGGCGGGGCTCGCACCTTTGCCCCGCCGGACCGAGCTCGCGCGGGGTGCGGCCGACCGCCTCCCGCGGCTGTCGGCGGCGGAAAAGGTTCACCCTTTCCGCTCGGGCGCCGCTGCTCCCTGGCAGCGTGCGCCCGCGGTACTTTGCACTGGCTCCCGCCAGTTTCCCTAGCGGGCCCCTTTCCCTGCTGGGGGGGGCGCCCACCAGGCGGCCCAGCCTTAGGCGCCTGTCGTCATGGCGTCGTGCCCTACGGCGCCAGCGGCTGAGCTCCTCCAAACACTCCTCTCCTTTCCCCTCCCCCTTTCTTCTCCGTATACGGGGGGTGCGGGCAGGGAGGAGGACGAGGAGGAGGACGCATTAGATTCAGGTGCCTCGCGAGTTGCACCGCCTCAGCCCGCACTCGCCAGTGGACGCCAGCCGCCGCGCAACCCTCAGTGCCCGCCGGCCCGTGCCAGACGTCAGCCGCCGCGCAACCCTCAGTGCCCGCCGCTCCGTGCCGGTCGGATCGAAGACGTAGAGGCGCGGCGCGCGAAGGTAACCGCAAGAAGGGTGGGGGAGACGGGTGAGGGGAATCCTGCTAACCTTCACCTCCTCGCCCCTTCCCCTCCCTACCTCGCAGCGCCGCGGCTCACCCGGGGCCCCGCGTGTGCAGCGGACACACGGAGGCCGTCTAACGCGGCCCATCAGATCGCAGGTGCCCATGCGGCGGTCTTGCCTTCGTCGTTCGAGCCGGTCGCCTTGCTGGCGAGCGCACCTGAAGGGTTGGAGCACCCGCTGTCACCCATTCAGCCTCCTCTGGGGGTCACCAGCCTGGAGTCCAGCGCCGTGGCGCCGCCGTCGACGCACGTCTGCGCGACCGCTGCGCTGGTTGGGACTCCGGCGCTTGGCAGCAATATTCACCTGGTCGCTACGCCAGGTGGTACCTCGACGGCTCGGTGTCACCGCCCACCACCTGGGCTGGAGGCGCTGTCGGGTCCCGAGGCCTGGTGTGCGGGTCCGCCTCTGGACCTCACCGGTTTGGAGGCGGGCGTGCGGCTGCCGCCGTCGCGTCATCCCTGCTCGACCGTTGTCGAGGTGGGGGTCCCCATGCTTAGTGCCGGGACCCACCTGTGGGCCTCCGATTCGGGGCAAACCGTGATCCCGTTCTTGCGGACCCCGCCCCCGCCTCCGGCGCAACCTCCTGCGCTCGGTGCCGCCCGTTCAAGCTTCCTTGACATTTCGCAGTCGCTCGGGCTAAGCGGGGGCCCACCCACGCCCCCGATCGGCCCGCCGCGCCACGATGTGGCGGGTGCATTGGAGCCAGGCGCCACCGCCAGTACATCCTGGGCGGCCCGCGCAGCGGTTGCTCGCGAGTCATCCTTGACGCCCCCCCTCGCCGCCACGCCGGGGGTCGGTGGGCGGGGGGTCGCCTCGAGCACTTCGGACCCGGATGCTGCTCCCAGACTCGCCAATGGCGGGCCCCCGGCGATGTTCGGGGGACCCTCTGCGGTGCGCGCAGTTTCGCTTGCGATCAGTCCCACCACTGCGAGGGCGCCCGCTGCCATCGGTAGCGTGGTGGACGCGCCAGGAGCGCCCGTCCGCACAGCCTCGACCGAAACTGCGATCCCTGCGCCTCGGGGCGCTTGCACTTGTAACGCAGCGGGCACTCAAGCAGCGGAGTCAACTCCAGGCCTCGTCGGCTCCGCCGCGGGCTCCTCGGGTGAAGGCGTCGCCGCAGCCGCAGCCATTCCAGCGCGGCCCCGACGCCTCTCGTGCGATCGGATCCAGGGCCTCGCCGCGTCGATCCCTGCTCGCGCTCGCGAGCGCCTGCTGGCCGACCCTCGTGGTCAGAGCTCTTCTCCGTCACCACTGGTAGGCATGCGCCCTTCCAGCGATGCTGTTACGGCCCCGCAGGGAGGGGTTCGTGCCGCCGGTGGGAAGTCAGGAGCGGGCTCGTCCACGGCGGCCGCGACGCCCCGGGATGCGGTCCCTGCGTTCTGCTCTGTCCGAGGGGCCGCTTTCGCCACGGGCTCCTCGGGCGAATGCGCCGCCGCAGCCGTTGCCACGCCAGCGCGGCCCCGACGCCTCTCGTGCGATCGGATCCAGGGCCTCGCCGCGTCGATCCCTGCTCGCGCTCGCGAGCGCCTGCGGGCCGACCCTCGTGGTCTGAGCCCTTCTCCGTCACCACTGGTAGGCATGCGCCCCTCCAGCGATGCTGTTACGGCCCCGCAGGGAGGGGTTCGTGCCGCCGGTGGGACGTCAGGAGCGGGCTCGTCCGCGGCGGCCGCGACGCCCCGGGATGCGGTCCCTGCGTTCCGCTCTGTCCGAGGGGCCGCTTTCGCCGCGGGCTCCTCGGATGAAGGCGTCGCCGCAGTCACTGCCACTCCAACGCGGCCCCGACGCCGCTCGGCCTCCACCAACAGCGCTGCCGCACTCCCCGCCTTCAGGCTCCGACGAGTTCGTCGGGTCCGCACTCGGCGTGGAGGACGGCGGGGTCGTCGGGCCGTCGATGGTAGCTGCCGTGCCGCTCACGCTCCAGCCCATGCTGGTGCAGCTGCCTCGTCTACGGACGCCCTTTCTGGTGCTTCAGAGGCCGCTTCTGGGGCCCCTGTCCAAGGGAGCCGCCGCTCGCGCTTCAATCGGAGCGTGCGCGAGGAAGCGGCAGCAATGTTGCGCTTCGGAAGTGCACCGCCCGTTGCCGTGCCTCCTGCGGCTGGAGCCCCGCCACGGTTTTCAGCTTCAGCCGAAGCTGCGGGGGCCCCGTCGGTAGGCATGTGCTCTGCCGGCGATGCTGGTGCGGCCCCGCAGGAAGGGGCTCGTGCCGCCGACGGGGTCACCGCGGAGGGGGGTGCACGCGCCGCCCAGGCCAGCGGCTACCAAGGCGGAGCCCCCGACGAGCCTCCTCGGCTCCAAGCTGTCGGTGGCCCTGCCATGGACCAAGAGGGCTCCGGGCAGCCCCGAGCCGGCCCCGCCGACCAAGGTGCCTCTTACCCCCAATCTGTTGGAGCCGCCCACGTCGGGCGGGTCGAACGGGGTGCTGGATGTGCTCGGCCGCCGCCGCCGGGGAGGTCTCATCCCGCGGCCGCCGCCCGCCGCTTCTGGACCGAGCGAGGTCGCGATGGTAGGGATGCGCCGGTGCAGCGCGGCTGTTTCGGCGCCGCTGGGCCCCGTGCGTGCCGCCATGGTGATTCTCGCTCGCTCCCAGGCGCTTCCCCCGCTCCTCCTGGCCATCCTGGTCCCAGCGTGGGCGTCGGGGCGCGCCCTGCGCCCTTCGCGCCTTGCCCTTTTCCCAGCACATCCCGTGCCAGCACTGGCACTGGCAGGTCTGCGCCTTTCGTGGCCGATCTGTCCGCCTTGCTGCGCCTGTTTCCAGGCGCCAGCATCGACGTCACCCACTGGGCCGCTGCTCTTGCCCAGGTCGGGATGGGGACTCGATGCTCCCTTGCCGCTTTTACCCGCACATCTTTCTGCGCGCTGGAATGGGAC